TGCCTAGAACCTTCTCAGCACAGAGATGGCAGGACTACTGTCTTAGCAATCTCTGGTGTGTTCACCTTCCCGTTCTCTGCGTTTGGAAGTCTAAACCTGCTTCCCTTTGTTCTGCCGGTTCCTCTAGGAATTCCTCACCTCTCCACCTCCCCACCTCCCCACCCAGCATGCTGAGGCTGAGTCCTGCAGCTCCCTGAGCTCCTACCTTGGGCTGCGCCCCAGCCCCAGCTGTTCTTTGCTGAAGATGCCGAGTTCCGAAGGCTGCCTTGAGTTACTTTACAGGAAGAGAACCCAGGAGTGAGGGTGCCTTGACATATGGTAAGTGTGTATTTTACTTTTTAATGATCAGCCAGAGTTTTTCCCAGAGTGGCAGCGCCGTATGCAATCCCTGACAGTAGCCTAGGGGACTCCGGTTGTTTTGAGTTTTCTCTAGCACTTGGTATTTGCCCGTTTTTAGTTTGAGCTATTCTGACAGGTGATTAGTGCTGTTTTGTCATAGCGTAAAGGCTAATGACATTGAACTTCTTTGCATGTACTTATTTGCAATCCCACATTTTCTTTGTTAAACTATTGAAGTCTTTATTCAATTTTGTTATTAGATTGTATTCTCAGTATTGAGTTTGGAGAGTTCTTTATAGTCTTTGTCAGATATATGATTTGCAAACATTTTCTCCTAATTTGTGACTTTTTATCATTTTTTTAGTACTAGGATTGGACTCAGGGGTGCTTAACCACTGATCCACATCCCCAGTCCTTCAAAAATTTTTCTTTTTACATTTTGAGACAGTGCCTCTCTAAGCTGCTGAGGCTGGCTTTAAACTCATGATCCTCCTGCTCCAGCCTCCTGAGCCGCTGGGATGGCAGGTGTGAGCCACTGCACCTGGCAACTTTTTATCTTTTCTATGAGATGTTTTACAGAGCAAAAATTTGAATTTTAAGTTCAATTTATCGATGTGTTCTTGTTCTGTGAATTGTATCTTTGATGTTATATCTAAACACTCCAGGTCTCAAAGGTTTTCTCTTACATTTTTTTCCTATAAATTTTATAGTTCTACATTTTAAGATTAGATCTACATTAATTTTGAGTTAATGTTTTGCATAAGGCCTGAGATTTAGATTGAGTTCCTTTTAATTTTTTGGCCAAGTGCCAAGTTGTTCCGATACTGTGGGTAGAAATGACCAATCTTCCTCTACTGAATTATTTTTGTGCCTTTGTCAACCTTAGTTCGTGTAGTAGAGTGGACCTAGACTCTCTGTTCTGCTGTGCTGACAGGTGCCAATGTCACACCGTCTTGATGAACATAGTCATATAATATGTCTTAAAATCAAATACTGTGTTTCTTCCAGCTTATTCTTATTTTTCAAAATTGCTTTGGATATTTTAATTCCTTGACCTTTTCCTGTAAATTTTAGACCCAATTTGCCTCTACATACAAAGGATCCAGCTGTTATTTTGATAGTAACTGCTTTACCTCTGTCCACCAACGTGGGGAGGGTTGTATATATATATATATACACACACACAATGTCTGTAAGAATATCTATTTATATTCATCTCTTTTCATACAAAAGTAGCGGACTCTTTATATTATTCTGTGCATTTTTTTTCCACTTAAAAAGACATCCTGGAGATCATCTCAAGCAGATCTGGAGATCATGTGAACCCCTCTTTTTAAAAATTTATTTATTTTAATTAGGTATATATGTGCACTCCTCTTTACAGCTGCTAAGTTGTCCTTGTTGGACTGTGTAGCTTTTGTAGTCCCCTAGTTCCCCACCAAAGGACATTGTTTTTTTTTTTCCTGGGCGGGGTGGTGGGTAGCCAGGATTGAACTCCGGGGCACTGAGTTCACTGAATCACATCCCCAGCACTATTTTGTATTTTATTTAGAGACAGAGTCTCAGTGAGTTGCTTAGCACATCGCTTTTGCTGAGGCTGGCTTTGAACTTGTGATCCTCCTGCCTCAGCCTTCTGAGCCACTGGGATTACAGGTGTGCGCCACCACACCTGGCCAAAAGGACATTTTGGTGTGTGTGTGTGTGTGTGTGTGTGTGTGTGTGTGGTGCTGGGGATTGAACTCAGGGTTGCTTTGAGCCACATCCCCAGCCCTTTTTGTTGTTTATTTTTAGACAGGGTTTTGCTAAGTTGCTCAGGCTTGTCTCAAACGTGCGATCCTTCTACCTCAACTTCCTGAATAGCTGGGATCTGGGATTACAGGCATGTGCCAACACACCTGGCTATTGATGTTTCCAATTTTGTTTGATTATCAATAATGGTGCCATCCATGAGCTCAGTGGTTCTTAATGGCATTGGGTAGGTGATAGACCCAGCCTGATTTTCTCTTAAAATTGGGAGCCATCTCGCCACAAAGCCATGAAAAGCTAATTTCCGCTTTACTATAAATTACTGCAAATTCTGAACCTGCTTGGAATGCCTGCCCGGGCCTTGAACTCACCCATGCCTGGCTCTCTGACCAGATAGCAGCCCTCTCTAAAACTTTAGTGATGCCTCATAAATCTTGGCCTTCCCTGGCCAGATAACAACCCTCTCTGAGGCTCTAATGACCTTCATAAATTCTGATGTCGGGGCCAGCAAAAATGTAAACCTCTGTGTTATGCTCGTCAGAGTTTTGTTATCTGTAACCCGCCCCCCCGCCCCCTTTGTGTAACTTTCTGGGCTATAAAGCTGGGCTGCAAGAAAGATGTGGGGCTGTCTTGTTCCCACGGTGTTTGGTGGGAGAGGCAGCCTGGCCGGTGGAAATAATAAGCTTGCTTTAATTTGATTTTAATTGGAGTCAGTGGTCTTTTCTTGCATTCTGGTCTAACATAGGAAGGTCACCTCCTCTGGGTCCTCCACCAACAGAGGGGTGGCTGTATCAGCAGAGGGGTGGTGGGTGCATGTTGCTAAGTGGTTGCAGGTGACCTTCCTCAGGGGAATGTGTGTATGTGTGTGTGTGTGTGTGTGTGTGTGTGTCTAGGTTGGAGCCATTGCCATCTCTTCACACCTCTCTGCTTGGCCTCTGCACTGGAGGGTGAGGTCCAGGGGTCAGGGCCGTGTTCAATTTATACCCTGGGCTGATATGTTGCTAGGAAACGCTGTCACAGAAGACTGGTTACTATAATATTAAAGGGCTCTCATTCCACTTACCCAAGCCCTGGAGATCCCCTACCCACCTTCCCAGTGCTCAGCCCCCTCCTCTGACACAGCCTCCCCTCTGCATGCTCCAGCAATGGAAGGGTTAATGCTGGTCTACCAGGGACCTGCCAGCGCCCTGCCCCAGCTCCTCAGCCTTTTTCCATTGTGATTTTTCAGTGTCTGTGCATCCGTTATGAAATATCTTGATTCCCACCCCCTGGTTGTACCCTTACGATCTGGTACAGCACCTGGTACACAACAGGTATACATTTGTTGTGTTCAAGAATGGAGGGAAGCTTCTAGCACCCTGTCCAGCACCTTGTAAGTGTGGCATGGACCTGCTCCCCTTCCCTCTCCTGCACCCTCCGGGGCCATGCTCTGCACTGGGGCTGCAGGTCCGGGACTGCTTGTGGCCAGGTCCTGAGCAGAGGTGATGAGGAGCTTGATGCCTTGAGCTGAATGCCTTGGATGCCAACCTCTAGATGTGCTCACCTGTGGGTGACAATGGACGCCCCCACACAAGGACTCCAACCCCCTGCTCTCCCAGGAACCATCTCAGATGGCTCCCAGTCATGCTGCTTCCCGGACAGCGGGGCGTGTCTTCTCCTGCCTTGGGAATAGAAATGGAGACTTTTATGGAAAAGGGAAACCAGATGAGCCGGTGTCGGGTGGAAAGAGGGCTGGCTGTGGGTCAGCAGACAGGAACCCTGCCTTGTGTCCACCCCTCAGTGACTGGCTCAGAGGAGGGATTCCCTCAGCCTCAGTGTCCTCATCTGTAAGATGGGTTCACATCCACCTGTGCTACCACTGGAGATTCAATACCTGCGCTCAGTGAAGTACAGGTGCCGTGCCCATGGGAGCGGCCCACTGCCCTTACCCCCCAGAGCGTGGCTCTGGTGTGAGTTGTCTTGGGAACCACATCCTGGCGCCGTGTGGGGAGAGCATAATATGGTAGTCTCAGGGCCCTCTGGTGACTGGTGACACAAACGTGTCTCCAGAGGAGACTGTGGGGAGCCTGTGGCTGGCACTGCAGTAGCCTAGGGGTTCACTCATCTTGTTGCCTCCCCTCCTCACTGCAGGTGGAGAAGAGGTGCCCGAGCACAACTAGCCACCCGAGAACGGCAGGAGCATGGCCACATGAGCAGGGGCGAGGTTCTCTGGAAGATGCTTCCAGTGGAAAGACCCCTGGAGGTCTGTCAGGAGCACCAGGCCTGTGGCCCCCACATCCTGACAGTGTGGCTGTTGTCACACAGGAAAGAAGGCAGAGGGACACCAGAGAGAGGAGGGAGCAGTCATGCAGCCAGTTCTCAATCAATGGGCTGGAACCACCTGTGGGGACCTCTGGCCCACAGAGCACCTTTGTGCAACTGAGGGAAGGACCTTTCATGAGCAGCAGTCTTGGATTCCGCGGGCACCTCCACCATGGCCCATCCCAAGCAGCTCTGTCTGTGGGGGAGGGGTGCCATGCGTTCTGCAGCCCCAGCGGGCAGCCTGGGCCCCCCTTGTCTCCCGCTCACACACCCAGGGGTGCTGGGGCACACGCAGATGGCTGGCAGTGCACACGCCCTGTATCACGTTCCCTCCCCCTTGGGGTGAGACTGTCACGGTCAGAGTCGGGGGAGGAAGGTTGGGAGTTGGACCTCCACCAGACTGCAGACCAGTCTAGAGCCAAGGGGGAAATATGTATGAAGTAAAAATATTAATAACAAATAAAAATTAGGTTTAGGAATGAAGAGGGGAGAAGATGGTGGTTGATATTGGCCTAGCAATGATGCTAGGGTCAAGGTCATGGGAGGTTCAGGAAGTAAGAAGTCTTTCTTCTGCAGTGCCTCCTCCTGAGACTTGGAATAGGCACCTTCGACGTCTATCTCCGGCCATAATCAGGTACATCTTGGTACGTCGGTTCAGGAGGAACGTTGTCAGGGTAGCTAGGTTTGGCAGGACTGGTGGTAGGGTTGGCAGGGCTGGTGGCAGCATTGACAGGGATGTCAGTAGTGTAGACGTGGCTGGCGGTCATGTTGGCTGTGTTGAAGCTGAATATGCTTGAACCTATTGTCATGTTCTGAAAGGCAAAGGACACAAGACCATCATCTTCTTCTGATCACTAATTCTTCCCCTTCCTGTTTCCATGCCTTGGTGGACCTTCTCTTACCGATGCTGGGCTTAGTCACAGGGCTTTCTTGGGACAGGGATGAGCATATTTTGCATGTTGTATAAGTGCTAGTAATTTGTGGAGAGAGGAAGACTTATCAACCGCAAAACTGATTACAAAGCCATGTAAATGGCTTTGGCCCGGGAAGATTAGCAAGTGTGACACAAGTGAGGACAAGAGAGCTTGCTGAGGGAGCCGCCATGTTTTACGACTCTGTGGAACGGTCACTCCGTGAAGGAGCTCAGGCTGGCATACCAGAGGATGAGGTAGCCCGTGGATCAGAGAGGAACTGTTCCATCAAGGGCTCCGTACACAGGTCTTCCCACCTGGTAGCTGGCTACAGATGCAAGAGCGCGTCCATCTAAGACCAGCAGACGGACTCACTGATGATTGCCCAGATTGATTATATTCAGAATCAAGAGCTTGATAAATGGTTGCTTTTTTAAATCACTAAATTTTGGGGTCATTTGTTATGCAGCAAAGCTTAACCGATACGTTCTTTCTCAGGCTCATTTGTCTGTCTTTGGTCATGTCTTGCTACTCTCCCCGCCGCACCCCGCCCCCCCCCCCAGGAGCATGCTCTGATTCCTGGGACACTGACCTCAAAGCGTCTCCAGCAGACAGCCTGGCATCCAAAATGCGAGACCACACATGTGAGGAAGAACTCCAAGAGGACAAAGGGCAGGAGACTACCCACGTAGGCCTTCATGTTAATCTAGAGGCAGACAGGAACGGAAGCACTTTAGTCCTTAGGGTTGACTATCTAGGTGACACTCAGGGCTCACCTTAGGCAAGTGCCACATGCCTCATCTGGAAGGCCTGAGACCCTCTGCAGTGGTCTCTTGAGCAGATCCTCTGGGCACCCCTTCATGTACCCTTCCTGTCCACTTAGTGGACCTTACCTGATGCCCAACTGTCAGCACCTGCATTTTTACTTTTCTTTCTTTCGATCTTTAAACTAATTGTTGTATTTTCATCCCTTTGACATTATAAAGGATATTTACATATACAAATGGACCATCAGATGGAGACTCACAGAGGGCAGGGTCTGGAGGGTCCCAGGCTCCGTCCCTGTGGGGCCGGGGTGCACCACTCTACTGCACATGGATGTGTTCTTGTTCGCTTGTCCCCCCCATGGACACCCCTGAACGCCTCTCTTACAACACCTGCCTTTCTCTGCCTTGCGGCTTCCTCTGGCCTCCAGAGCCCACGCTGCTATTGGCACAGCAGGTCTGCAGCTCAGGAAAGAGGCCCCTGGAGGGCAGCCCTCTATTAATGACCATCAGTGTTCGGTGTATGAAGACCCCAGCTGCCTTGCCCCTTGGGTTCCTGTTTGCTTCTCTTCCAAATGAACGATATGTCTCAAAGTCGCATGAGAAGAACCCAAGCTGAGACGTGCCTCAACAAGCACACAGACCAGGTGATTGGTGACAGGGGCTGTTGGGACAGACACCAATGAGCGTGTGATCATCGGCTCTGCTTGGCTCCTGGCTTCTGTGGCCTGATCCCTATGATGCTATATGGATGCTGTCCTTGGAAGGTGGCCATGGGGACTCAGAACTTGAGGAGCTTCTGCTAAGAGGGAGGCCAGGGCAGTTCAAGAGACCCCATAGAACTCGGTGTAATTAGGATCATGTCCATCCCCAGTGGGGTGGAGGGGTCATGGAGATCATCCTGTGGTCCCCTCTACACTCCTCCTCTCTGTGGCAGAGAGGACTGGCCCCTTGCCTAAGGGAATCCGAAGTCTCTGGGCACCACTACACCAGTGGTCATTCATGACTGAGGTCATGATGCCCAATGACTGCTTTTAGGACCAGTAGATGTTGGCCTCTTGATTCCCCAGGACCACAATCCACTCTTGAGGAGGACATCCAGTCCCACCCTGGGGACTCCAGAGGCCAACACCTGGCCTGGTTTGTGGCTTGCTGCATCCTCTAGATGCCACGTTACATCAGCAGAGTCACTTCATCCTAGAGCCGGCAGGAGCCCTGTCCATAGGGAGCACCTCACCTGCACACAGGTCTGGATAGAGACCCCGTGCCCTGCCAGCCCTCCCTGCCTGCTCGGTTAGTCCCGAGGGAGGACAGGGTCACGGCTCACTGTGGAACAGTTATTCTTGCCCTTGCTCCTCAGGCCTGCTGAGTACTGTGTCAATGCCACTGAGGTCCTTCCTGGATCCCAGTGGCCCTATTTCCACTCCCACCACCTGTCTTCCAGCCTCATCACATGCCCGAGGGCCTCCCTTGGCCAGGAGACTGCTTTGCCCATGTGCAGGGCAGACAGGAAGCACCTGGGAATTGGTGGCCTCAGCAGCGGTTTTAAACCAAGGACTGAGTGGAGTTGGGGGCTCCCTGCCCGCTCCCTCGCCCAGCGCAGGCCAGAACTGAGACGCCCACTGCTCACTCTGCTGGACTCCCACCAGGAGGGAGCTCCTATGGTCACCTGCCTGACTACGTCCTTCATCCTGGCTTCCCCCCTTGCTCTTATCATGCCCTCCCTCCCCTGCTGGGGCTTCCTGGGCTCACCTCTGACAGAAATGCCCTGCACCTGAATCTTGCTCCTGCATCTGCTTCTGCAGCCCCCCAAATAAGACAGCAACCTAGCTTCAGCACCTCTTCTCTCAGTGACAGGCTGTCCCTCCGTAGGTTCCTGGGGCAGGTCATCTTGTGCATTCGATTGTGGATTTGAGTGGTGGCAACCCTGCTGCAAACCTGAGCACTTGCTACCTCTAAACAGGATGTAGGGTGGGTAAAAGAAAGGCTCAACTGTCTTCTCCTCTCTGTCCTCTCTGTGAAGTGAGGTTTATGATGGTGGCCTCCACAGCCACAGAGTTTGGTGAGGGTCCATACTTGGTGGACACAGTGCTCATCTTACTAGGTTGGAATTCTGTTGGAATTCCCTCCTGCTCTGGAAACAACCTTGTGATCCCTCCTGTCCTTTGGCAGCATGGGCCTAGGCAGGTGGATTGCTCACCTCCCTTTGAATGGACATATCTGCAATGAAAATGGAGATGCCCGTCAGGGAGAAGACCGCACTGACCACGTTCATGGCGATGCTGCCATTCACCTGGAGGACACAGAGGGAGACAACGTGAGCAGGGCCCAAAGCCCAGCATCTGGCAACATAGGGAGGTAGGAGAAAAGAGAAAAGTCTGTGCAGGAAAGAGGTGAGAAGCCAGCGGATTCCAAGCAGAGTGAGGTGGGAGTTGTTCTGGAATCACCGTGCAGGCCCCCTTAGGACAGGGGCCCCCTTTGCTTGGCCAACACCTCACTAAGTAGAGGGACAGGAAATGAGGTTCGAAGGCTGGGTTGGAAAGACACAAGGACAGGGCCCAGGTGCTCTCAGGGAGCTGAGCAGGGATCCCAGCCTTGCCTTGGGAGGAGGGTGTGGGAGAGACATGGCTCCTGAGGTGGAGGGCTGCAGCCAGGGCTGGAGGGTGACAGGGGAAGGTTTTCAGGACCAGAAAGTCTAAGGGTCAATGTTAAGGGATCTGCTTCTCCGTGATGAGATGCTGACATCCTGCAATTGTTCACGACGACTCCTACTCAGGCTGCCTCCCTGAGGGGTATGGGGAAGGAGACAGGGGCTGTGGGCCACATTTGGGCTGAGCCCAGGACAGCTGTGGGGCATAGAGCCTGAAGCAGAGATGTCACTCAGATGTCACGCAGCAGAGCAAGGGGGTTAGGGGATGCCCAGGAATTGGCAGACACCATTAGAAGGCTCTAGACTCCCCAGAGATTGGGGGACAGGGTTCAACCAGTCTTGTTGGGACATGAAGAAGCAGTGTGAGCTGAGCCGATGTTGGGGTATCTGGGGTTCTGGCCTTTGGGAGGGATGAAGTAAGGAAGGCAGATGGGGGCAGACATTTGTCCTGGGGAAGGAGATTGGTGTCTGGGGACACTTCAGTTAGATCACCCAGCCCCTCAGCCTACGGCCTTCTTCACATGGCGGGAGACAGATCCGATGCCTGCAGAGGGGAGAAGGTGTTAAGGGGAAGGAGGGCTTGGGGCAGGGGTGAAGGGGGCCACTGTGGAGCTCTGCACTCATTCCCAAGCTTCTTAGAGGCCACAACAAACTCAACACATGAGCGGATGTTTTTCTGGATGTTGAATGACACCCTAAAGGCCCCAGGGAATGCTATGTCCTGTGCCCTGTGGCTGGGACTCCACGTTGTTCAAAGCAGAATTCCCAGGTCCAGCCAAAGAGGAAGACAGGAAGTGCCAGGGAGGGGGCTGCCAGGCACCATCCCCTGTGGCCCAGGCCTGGCTTCCTGCTTGACGCAGAGCCCCCCTGGGGCACCGCTCTGCAAACTCACGAGTTTCCCAAATAGCCAAGTGGTTTTTAGCAACTGAATTCTTGTGATAACTAGAAGCACAGGTTTGAAATCAGCTTGTAGGTCCAAGTCCCAGCTCTGCCCTGTGTTCAGTGTGTGACTTCACATAAGACATGTGACCTCTCTGGGCCTCAGTTTCCTCAGCTACAATACAGGGACGACAGAACTTCCTAGAGTTGTGCAGACTGAATGGGATGAGGTGTGTGAAGGTTCTGAACCCAGCGCTGGGCCACTCTGCCACCATGGGGCCTCTTTTCCATGATTGGGAGAGGAAAACATGAACACTCAGGGGTCACCAAAGAAGGCATCAAACTCACCACACATGGGCTGGTGTCCTTCTCAGCCAATACAGACAGGGATCCAGAGGCAATGTACTATGCAGACAAAAAAGAATGATAGGTTTTGCAGAACGTTAAAAATGACAACCATCCATTCAGAGGTGGATCTTCCCTCAGTCTGCAAGTTCTACGCATTTTGTTCCAGAAAAAATGCAAACTGTTTACTTCCTTCCAACATTTTCCCCATCCCAGTGAACGTGCCCAGCGTACTGAGTGCTGCGATGCTCTGACCCCTGTGAGCCGAGTCTAAAGCCTCCCTTTCCTCTGGCAGTCTGAATCTTGTTCCAGGGTGCTCTGTCTCATTATCGTCACCTTCTAACAGGTTCTCCTTGAGGACGTTGCCTGGGCATGTCGTTGCCCAAACTCACTTATTGCTCACTCTGCCTAACAACCAAGGGTAACAGCCAAGGGTAGGTTGGTGTGGTGGGCAGAGCCTTGGTGCTGGGAGACAGGAGACCTGGGATCCTGCTCTACTTCTGTGACTGGTCACCTCACTGTGCTCCAGGACCCAGCCTGAGAGTCCCAACTAGCACTCCATGATGCAAGTCATGTGATGGGCAAGGAACACTCGAGGCTAGACTCCAAGCTCAGTCTAATTAGAAGAGGCTGAACTAGGTGCCTGGACTCAGCTCCTTCTTCCAGAACTTTCTGTCTATGAGGATGTGATGGTAGCATCTTATCTCTCGAAACCGCAGTCTCCTCATCTAGACAATGGACATGGATAACCATCTCTGCCCTCTCTACCTCCAAGTGGGACATGTTATTCAAGTGGGAGAATTAGAATGGTATTCTCAGTGGGGAGGACAGGGAGATTTCCAGGGCATCCTGGGCTCTCTTAAAGCTTCTCCTCCAAGAACTCACTTCCTGTGCCACTGTGGGAGGCTAGAAGGCAGCAGGGCTGGAGCATAAATTTGGGCCTGGCTTGGGAGCCTGCAGCAGGGCTTCTGGCAGAGGACAGCAGCATGGGGCAGCCTTGATCATCCCGCCATGTGCTGATTGCAGCCCCCAGCCTTCTGGGACTTTCCTCACAGGGGGACTTCATTGTGTTCCAGTGGTTTCTCCAAGAGACACTTATTCCTGTCACTGCTGTATAGACTTGTGCTTGCAGCTTGGGTCAAGGTTATCAGTGTGCAGTCGTTGCTGACACCTTTGGTCTTGTCAGTCCACAGAAAGTTAGATCCAGGAAGTTTGAGAGGAAGATTCATGCCTGCTCTTTTGACATCAGTGCTGTTACAGGACTTAAATCCTAAAATCCCCCTGGAAATTGCTTCCTGTCCTGCGCTCACAACTGGTTCTGCATGTTGATACATATGCACATATTTCTGGAACAAAGTCTATCTTTAATATTCTTTTAGGCTACAACAATACAGACCAGATGTTCTGGACAGGCACTTGTCCAGCAAGGTACCTCCACCACTGAGCCAAGCCAATTCCTGCCTTGGCTCTCGAAACCAGTGAACTTTGTGTCCAAGCCACCTATGTGGATTTCTCTCATTTTGCTCATAAAACTAGCCTTTGCCTCAACCTCCTTGACTCTGCCTACAGTTTGCTTTGGTCTGAGTGTCCCCACTGCAATGCTCCTCTGTTCCCAGATAAGTGTCACTATTCTTTGGCAAACTTCTCTCTGGTAGTGCCATCGCTAAAGGAAATAGGTGAGTGCAGAATCTGGCTGACCCAGCGTTATGTCCTGGGGGCACTGTTGACCATTCTATTTGTCCATAAGGAAATATATATGCTATCTGAGTGTTTCTTTATGAATTTGTGTTTTGCATATAAGTCTTTCTAGGCCACTATATTTGAATTTTTAGTCAATCCAGTGTCAGTAGTAGCATTCAATCAGTGGCAATCAAATAGATTTGTCAAACAAATTTAAAAATGCCAAGTCTTAAAATAACCCAGTGGATTAAAGAAACTATTTGACATATCTGATGATCTGTGACAGTACTGAAAACCATGACACCAAAGTCCCCTGCAGTTCAGGAAGGACATCCTGGAATAGAATAGTGGCACAGATAAGAGATCTCTGTGAATTTCTGTTGAAGCCTCTTCCATTCCCTTATGTGTAAAAAAGACTTTGCATTTATGTTGCCTTTAAAAAATAGTGCTAGGGATCAAACCCAGGACCTTCTACATGCTCGGCCAGCCCTTTACTACAGAACAACAGACCAGTCCTCTATTCTATTGTCGAGATGATTGAGATGCTGTATGAGAAACGGTCATAACTGGCCACTGCTCTAAAAACGTGTTTTGTCTGATGCTTATACATTGGAAAGGAGCTTTGAACTGGATGATCTGAAATCCTAAAAATGATAAGCTAGTCCCAGACAGTTGCATCTAAAACAGCCGAAATGGGTACTAGCCTGTATGGTAAGACAAGAAAACGAAAACCATGAACAGATTGAGCATGAACAACTAACAGGGTGATTATTAGTACATATCATAGTCTACACAGAAATCCCAAAAGATTCTAGAAGCAAATCACTAGAATTAATAAGAAAGTTTAGTAATTTCACTAGATGTGAGATCAATATGTAAAAGTCAATTGCATGTAAATATACTACCAAGAGTGGTTTGAAATGAAGAAAAAATTACAGAATGATGTAATAAAGATATGAAAAATTTTAATGTAAAAATTAACCAATGTTGAAAGATATTAAATTCTGATGCCTATTCATAGATCAAAAGAATAAATACCAGCAAAACGTGAATTCATTCTATGCTGATCTGTGGCTTCAGAATAAATTCAATTGACCTGATTTGTCACAAAGTCTATATGTACCAAATTATCATACTGTATCTCTTAAATTTGTGCTGTTAAAATAACACAATCAATAAAAATATCTATCAAAGTATATTGCAGCTTAAAAAAAAAGCCACTTGGAAGAATCGGAAGAAAATTTTTAGTAGAATGTTTCTTGGAACATGAAATATAGATGGATGATCAAAAGCTAACATTAGTTTTGGCTCCCCTGGCTAAAAAGGAAAACAAATTCCAGGAAATTTTAGATATAAAGATTTAGCATAAAGATATAGTAATCAATACAATGTAATATAGAATTACAAAGACAGATCAAGCCATGTGGAATAGGAGAGAGGTCTCAGAAGCAGACCCGCACATATTCATATGTGACATATGATATTTGGCTTTTTAGGTCAGCAGACAAAGGAGAGCCTAGGACAATTACTAATTCACAGAGACAAAAAAAAAAATCAAAATTGGACATTAACATAACATAACCAGAATCAATCCCTAATAAATTGAGGATTTAAGTGTAAAAGTAAACTTAAAACAAATTCAGAGGAAAACATAGAAGAACCTCTTTATGACCTAGGACAGGAAAAGATTACCTCGGCAAGACACTAAAAGCACAGAACACAAAAATTTTGACAAATTAGGACACATTCAGATTAAGATATTGTGTCCATCAGGAGATACCATAAAGAAAGGATTAGCCAAAAATCAAAGGATCAGTCAAAAAACTGGAAGATTATTATTATCAATAAAGAAGAAGCATGAATTTACAAAGAATCCCAATGAATCAAGGAGAAAAAGACAAACAACCCAAAAGAAAATAAGAAAAAAGAAAAAGAAAATTGGCATGTCGGTAGAGAAGGGAAAACTGAATGTTCAATAATGAAAAGATGCTCAACGCGTTGATAATTAGATGGAAATTCAAATATCCCACCAGACTGGCAGAAGTTTTAACGTTTGCCCTGGTTTTAATTGCCCTGGTTTCCACAAATCTCATTGGGCTTTGGGGCAATATCTCAAGGCACACCTGGGACCATTTATAGTGTGCTAACACAGGAAGTCCTGCCCACGTGCCTCACACAACCAATTACAGTAGCATGGTTTGCACTGCTGAGAACTGAAAACAACCTAGATATTTGTTGACAAGAAAATGGACAAGTAAATTGTAGCGTACTCATGTAGCAGATCAGGATCCATCAGTGCAACATGAACTATGGCTGCTTGTGGCACAGACGAATCTCCAAAACAGAATATGCAGTGGGACAGAGTGAGCTGCGTGAAGATGCAGCACGCTTCATTCACATGGCTTTATACCCGTGCAAAGGCACGCCGTGTGGGTGCATGTGGCTGGACCACAAAGAACGGGAATGAGAAACACAAAATGGAGAATAGGGGCCACTTCTAGAAGCAGGGAGCGGGTACTCTTGGGGTTTTAAAACTTGGTGATGCCTCGGGTTTTGAGTTAGGTCATGGATACCTATCTCTTCATTTTTAAAAAATTTTAATCTTTATTCCCTTTAGACACACAATCCTAAAACTCATTCCAGCCACCTTTGAGTGTGCAGTTCACTAGCACTGTGCACCAGCAACACCACCATCCACACCCAGATCCCTTTCCTTGTCCCACACTGAACTGTCCCCATTCAATACCACCTCCCCATTGGATAGCCTCTGGAAACCACCAGGCTACCTCTTTCCCTATGCATTTGACTCATCTAGGTGCCTCACACAAGTGGAATCACTCAACATGGGTGTCCATTTCTCTATTAATTAACTTCTTCAGTTCCATATTCTTAGTGGCCTGTCAGCAGAAAGGCTTCCCATCTGCCTGCTGAGGTGCCAGTGGTTTTGGAAAAGACTCTGGTTTGCAGTATTTGCTGATTTCTTTGGTGCAGAACAGCGGATCATTTGTGGTCAAATAGCTTACCTAATTCCTGACAATTTTACAGTCAGCTGCCGTGACTGACAGGCAGGCATCTCGCAAGCACATGACTGGATATGCTCTGATTTACCTATGAGATGTTTCCTAGAAAGAGCCCTGAGGAAGTGCAGTGGAGAAGGCATAAAGCAATAAAGGTTTGTGTCCCAAATGTGCCCTGGAGGCAGGGGCTGCTGCTGGGCAGGTGTGAATTGGATGCTGACCTTTTGCTGCACCTGCAGAAGGCTGGCTCTTGGCTCTGAGCATCCTATGACTGTGAGTGGAAATTCCTGCTCTTTCTTTATGTTCTCCTTGGCCCCCTTGGGTGACCCAGGAAGGAGGCTTTGTACTCACGGATAATCCTCCCCAGAACAGATACCCTGATAGTCCAGTCACAGAAGGCTTGGAATACAGCAGAGGGTTGATCCCAGAGAAAACGTGCATCAGGCCAATGATGATCTGGATGGCCTAGGAGGAGACCAGAGGATGGTGAGAGGCAGAGCTGGGGGCCACGGGCTGCCACGCTGCTCTTCCAGCCACGCTGATGCTCCAGAATGACTCGAGGGATGGTAGGTGTTGGGGCTCCCCCAGACCACCCTACCTTCTCTGTGCCCAGGTTTCTTTCCTTCTAAGATGGGCTCTCAAAAGCTGGCCTGCAGGGCTCGTGCGAGACTGCAGTGCACATGAAGCTCATTGGCCAGTTCCTGCAGGGAGGTGTGTGGAAGCCCTACACGGACACTTTCCCACACCCGAGTTCTCTTTTCAGCCATTCCCATGACTAGCCAGTTTCCCTTGGCAATGGATGCCCTGGGAGACCCTCTATCCCTCTTATCTTTCCTTCTCCTCTAACCTTCTCTTACGGGTCACCTAAACGCTTTTCTGATGACCCATCAGAATGAATCCCCTCCTATTTGGGCTCCCACGGCATGGCTATTCCTGAGAGGTGGGAGGTGGCTCTGGGCGTCTCTGGGCCTCAGTTTCCTCAGGGGTCAAATGACCAGGGTTGAGCAGATGCGTCCCACTCTCCTGGCCCATGTGTCTATGAGTTGGTGACAGATGTGCATTTCACACGATCGTCCCTTCACAAGACAATGTGCTTGATTTTTGTCTGTGTTCTCATTAGGTCTGTACTTCAGAAGGCTGGCATAATTTTCCCACTAAAACGAAATTCAATCCATGAAAGACAGCCCACATTTTTAGCTTTCACTGTGGCTGAGCAGGATCCCCAGGCATTTGCTGACTCAATTCTGTTTTGAGAAATTTTCAAATTCTTCCAAAATATCTTAAAATCACTGGAAGCCAAAATTAACAAGGATTTATTTATCCAGTATTAACTAATAATGATAGTAATCATGTTACAAAATCCCAATCACTGTGCAATATCATAGGCTAGCTCTACCTTTGGAAGGGTCCACACACATGTCTAATCTCACTAGATGCTCACAACCAGCATTTGTTTTCCTGATACTGTTTTATGGAACTTAGTCTAAGATTGATTTTGATAAGTTTTGTCATTGGTAAAACCCACATTTCTATTCCTGAAGGATCTATGAGGAGGGATAGATTGGGGTGTGTGCTAGTCTGTCTTCTGTTGCTCCAACGGAATACCTGAGTCTGGGTAATATGCAGAGAAAAGAGGCTTATTTAGCTCACAGTATGGAGGCTAAAAGCTTAAACTGCATGATGCAGGATCTGGTGAGACCCCCCTGGCTGTGTCACCTTGAGGCAGATGGCATCATGGTGAGAGCTCATGCCAGAAAGAGAGAAACCAGAGAGGATGGGGAAGGGCCACTCTTGCGATTTTGATCAGAACCTGCTCTTGACATCTAATCAGAAGCCCCACGGGGACTATGCTATTCTCTTCTGAACCCAGTGACCCAAGCACTTCCCCTCTGCCACACTTCTTACAGTTCCTCATCAGCTCTCAACATTGCCATGCTGGTGGGAACACAGTTTCCAGCACGTGGGCACCTGGGGGGCCTGCGCTAACCATACCCACCCACAGCGGGGCTTCGTGAGTCAGCCTCTTCCCGACCTGTGCTTGCTCTCTGGCTTCCTGGCCTTCCAGCCTCACACAGAACTCTCTGGGCGCTCAGGATGAGCTGGGCATGCGTCCTCTGGCCATGCCAGAAGCTGATATAATTGCAGTAGCTGCCACGGAGTGAAGACCCTCCTTGGTCTTTGAGGGTGGTGTCCTGGTCAGCTCTGAGTCCCTGTCACATGGAATGGGTGAGTGTGTACAGATTGAGGATCTGTTATAAGCCAGTCCCCTTGCTAGGAACTGGCTGGGCCTCCAGTCTGCCACAGGACTGATCTGGCTTCTGCCCCAAGAGGAGGATGACCGGAGCTTTTCCAGGGGCCAAATGAGGCTGGAGGAGGCAGGTCAGGGTCAGGATCCCCTTGGTTGAGGAGGAAGTCACAGAGCCTCAGGGCCTGAAGGGATTTAAGAGAGGATCTCACTAGATCTGCTCCCTTTAGAGATGAGCAAATTGAGGCCCCGAGAGGGAAGGATGTGCCCGAGTCCACCCAGCCTCCAGCCAGCCCCGAAACCTGGATCACATGACTTCCTGGTCGATGGTCTTTTGAGTGAAACTGATGCCGACCTTTGGCTTTGACAACTAGGAAGGGGATGGTTAACCAACTTTACAGCCTCCCCAAAGACCAGGGAACTGGTGGAGATGGGGAGGGAGATGGGGAGGGGGACTGCTGTCTGTGGGACCTCCCGGGTCCAGCCTCCAGAAACTGTCACCTGCTTTGTTCTTTGCTCTCCAGATCTTCGCCTTCCTCATCTAACTGCACCAGAAGTGGCCTTATGAAGTGACCCAAGCAGAAGAAAAGACATCGCACTTACCCCTAATGTTCTGACCTCATCATTGATGAATTTCTTGGGATCAAATGCAGGAAATGATGCAAATGACATGTTCCATGCCATGTTCGATGGGGACTGGCCTGACGTGGGTGTCAGCCCGGGGATGGCGATCGCAGGATTCTCAGGGTCTCCAGGCAGGGTCTGGACATGGGCTGTTCCCAGGGGGTACTGGGTCACTCCAGGCGAAGTCTGCAAACCGGGCCCTCCTGCTGGAGGCTGGAGCACGGTGAGCTGGCTCTGTGCACCGGTCACCCCCGCTGCATTCTGGTACACTAGGAATGGCTGCGCTAAGTTTGTTCTTCCTGTATCACACTGGACCACTGTCGAGGAGGGTGGGTAAGGGGTTGTCCCCGAAGGTTGCTTGTGGCTTTCTGAAGTCACCGGATACCGGGGCTGGGTGACATGGACACTTGCTGGGGCATGAGCACCGGGCACATTGCTGGTTGTGGACATGGTGTGCAGCTGCCACAGAACACACAAGAAGGTGCATTTTCCTCCTCTGACAAAATGCATGACCCATCTTTCCTCATTCTTATGTTCAGCTTCATCCTCATTAAAATGAAAACCACCTGCCACGCTGCTCTACCCAATAAGCTACTTTCCTTCCTGGGAGTCCATGTTCTAGGGACATTCTATTTTCCTTATGTGGGTGTGGATTTGGAGACTAGGTCTCCTGGCTGCTTAGCTCCTGTCGACCCTGGGTACCTTTTGGCTGGTGGTTTTGTTCAGGCCTCTGCAGTTGGTATTTCAGTCTGCTTACCTTGAGTTTGCAGAATGGGTACAGGCCCACCTGCCCCTTACCCTGGCCACTGTGGGTGGGTCTGGGGATGCGCAGCTGACCTTGAATGGCTGATAGTTCCTTTCTCCTGGGGACTTGGGATTGAATTTGAGGACTATTGTGAGATGGGAAGCCATACAGAGCTGGAGGGTCAAGCACATGTTATGTGAAGAGGGGAAGAGATAGCTCTTCAGAGTAAGGAGAATGAGGACCATGGATGGAGGGAGGGGGAGGGGAGACTTTGATTGTGCCCTTTTAATTTCTGGTTCAAGGTTCTCATTAGCCCCACCTACTTTCGCTCTTGGAGTCTATGAGCAGTTAGCTAGCTCCTGGGTTTAATTCAGCTAGTTTATGGATGGTTCCTTAACATTCATTGGCTTTAGAAAGAAAAGGCAGATTGTCTTTCCCAAGCTCCATGTACCCTTGCCACCCAGGGGGACAGTGGACCAGGTGGCCTGGGAATGCCCATCTTGTCCCCTCTTCCTGAAGGTTGTCCACCTGGTGTTGGGATCAGGACCACAGAGACGCTTTGCTGAATTCTGTTGGTCTGTGTTTAACTGATGAATTTCTTGGGATCAAATGCAGGAAATGGTGCCAATGACATGTTCCATGCCATGTTCTGGGTTCCTAGAGGGTCTGAGAATGGCCAAACCCTGAATCACACGCAGTTTCGATTGATTTCTGAGTAGAAGAGGCAGTTGAGAAAAGCGTGAATGTAGTCCTGGGTTGACCTCAGATAAGGGCGATCTGGAGAAGCTCTAAACTCTTGTGCTGCTCAGCTCAGCTCAGCAAGGTTGCAAAGGGCCTCCTGAGACCCTTGAAGCAGCGCTAGGTGGGACGAGATCCCATGCAGAGCAGGGGAAGGTAGCTTGTGTGATTCACCTGGGGTTGTTAGTTGTTTTGGTTGCTGGGCTTGTGTCACCAAAATTGTACGCTCCTTGCTGGCAGAAAACCACCTCTCTGGTACCAAATGCTGCAGACCTGATCCAGCCATAAGTGCTCAGGAGGCTCCTGCCCTTTCTACACCAGCCATAAAGATAAAGTGAACCCATCCTAGAGCCCAGAGTCCCAGCTGCTGACAGAGTGAGAAACACTGTGAATTGCCCACAGCCAACTTGGGTTTGGGGCTGACTGAAGGATTGATAGTGTTTAATGTTTAATCGTCTAGAAAATAAAGGCAAGACAGCATCAGGACTACGAGATCAGATAGCCCTGGGGTCATTTCTCAGTTTCTCCATTTAATAGTTTCATGACCTTGAGCCCGTGGCATAGCTCTCACTCTCCTATCTATGAAGCAGAGATGATAAGAAGCTCTGGCCTCTTATCATGGGTGCTTGCAGCACAGAGCCTGGCCCAGGGGAAACACCCACTTTACACTTGTTCTCTGTCGAAATATAGAGACCGTCCACAACAGAAGGCCCCCTGTTTTGAACATTTTTCCTAGTTAACTCCAAAGTATTTTGTTTGCAATACTTACAGTAGGGGATCTCAAAATGTGGTCTGCAGGCCAGCAGGTTCAGGATCACCAGGGAACTTGCTAGAAATGTGAATTCTCAGTCCACTCCACAGACCTACTGGATCAGAGGCTCCAGGAGTGGGGATTTGCTGCAGAAGATTGAGACCCATGACTGTTCAGAAACACGCCCCCATTTCTCCTCGTGACTTCCCTTTCCTTGGATCCCAAATGTCGATAACGCGGGCTCTGCAGGAATTCAGGAAATTCCTAGCTTTCCCTCTTCTACCTTCTAGCTGGTTTCCAAGGCCCGTGCAGCTCTGCTATTGCTCTAGAAAACACCTGTCCTGTCTGCCACCTGGCAGCTGAGCCATTCCCCAGGACTTCTTGCTCAGCTTGCTCTTACCCACATCTCTGCAAAGCAGGGAGAGGAGGCAGTGAGGCCGGAAGGGCCCGCCTGTGCATGCTCAGCCCTCAGTAGTGGACTCGGGCCTCAGACTCATCCTTCCTGGCTGCTACGCTCACTTCAAGGTGCTGTCACTGTTCTAAAGGGATCTTAGATCCAC